CCCTAAGCCGACCTGCTATAAGGAGGGAGGACTCCAACTTCCAGAATTCCTCAGCCGGCCTGCTTTAAGAAAGGAGGACTCCAACTCCCAGAATCCCTCAGTTGGCCTGCTTTAAGAAGGGATGGATTCCATCTCCCAGAATCCCTCAGTTGGACAACTTTAAGAAGCGATGGACTCCAACTCCTATAATCCCTCAGCCAGCCTGCTATAAGTAGGGAGGACTCCACCTCTGAGTCCAACAAAGGGGCCGGGTGTGGGGGGGCTTCCTCCCCTCCCTCTTTTGGGCAGGTTTACAAAGACAGGGCTGGGAACTTCAAGCCCGGCTGGCCATGACCCCTGATCCCTGCCTGCCCTTCCCTTCTTCCTGTGGCTGGTGGCAGAGAGGAAGGCAAGCCAGGACTGAGTTGCTGCCGCTCGGTCCCCCCCCCCCCCCAGCATCTCCCCCCCAACCCAGACTCTCCGCAGCTACTGGGCCTTGCCTGCTGCAGCTGCCAGAGGTTGGAGGTAGCCAGAGACTGCGAGGTTGCGCTGCGTGTATCGCCCCTCCACCAGCTGGCCCTCCTTTACTTGCCTGCCCACTGAGGGTGGAGTGTGGGAATGCCTGGCCTCCAGACTGCCCTCTCACCTGGTAAGGTGTGAAAGGAAGGTCGACGGCAGGGGAGGGAGACCCACTCCAGGCCTGAAGCACTCGGCCAAAGGGCCACCTCGGGGGGACACAGCGAGACGAGGCTGCCTTTTGGGCCTGGCTCTCAGCTTCCACAAGGCTTCTGGGTGGCTGCCACCTGCTCACCCTCACCTCTGCCTCAGGTCCCTCATCCATCCTGCGATGGGGCAATGCACTGCTTCTGGGCTGGCAGGTGGGCAAGTGGGCAGCTCTCGGGGGAGAGCACTGTGCTGGGACTGAGGCCACTGCTCTGCTGGGTCTGGTTCACTGAACTGCACAAAATGTTAGCTGCCGGTTTTCGTGAACTGGTGCTAACCGGCTGAATTCCACCACTGGCTATAAAGCACTGTAAAGCGGTATATAAGTGCTATTGCTATTTCCAATCAGCCTCCATGTTTCCAGTGTCTTTCTCCCAGCTTGGAACTGTTGGAAATAACTCAAAGCCAACAACAAAAAAACTTGGATCATTGAAAACAAAGAGGATTTATTAAAAAGAAATAACAAGATGGTTTGCAAAGCGTCAGTGGTCTTTAGAACCTTAACAAGCAGGTTCAAAATCAAAAGCCACACCTTTAGAATCTCAAAACATACTTTATATACAGTTTCATCTCATCACCCAAGTTCCCTCCTTCTTGAGACTCATTCCCTCCCAAGTTCAAGCTCATTGGATTTGCCCTCAGGTGTTGCAGCTAATCCCAGGATGTCTCTAGGAAGAATTATCTCCTTCCTTTGTGTTCTCATCCGTACCCTCCGTACCTCTTACTTTGGCTGCCCACGTGGCATCTTTCCTTAGCGTTAAAAATGTAGCATCCCCTCATCAGGGCCTCTTTCTTAGCTCATCATATACTAACATTTTTTCCGAAGAGATTGTAACAAAACCACCCCAAACATAATAATAATATAAAAGGCTTATACATAATATAAAAATATAAAAAGGCTTAACAATGGAGCATGTCAACAGTATAAAAGCATAGCATGCATATACATGGAGATATATTTCATTTGATAACAGATTAATAGATTGGAAGGGGCCCCGCAAGGTCATCCAGTCCAACCCCCATTTGAAACCATAAGCATCTTATATACTATTTGATTTTTGAATTTACTTATTTCTAACAGAACTGAACTAGATCATCAGACAGATTTTTTCTATTTCTGTGTCCAAAACATATCCAGAAAGTTGCGATTTGTTTAATTCAATTTATTCCAAGAGTGACAAATTATGAATTCTGTACTTATTGGAAGAATAATTTAAATAGTATACCAGTTTCCCTATTGCACAGTAAAATCAATGTGATGTTTGTTTATGGAGGCATGCAATCTATGCAAATGTTATGAATATTTGTTGAAAGTTGTGAAATTCAGAGCATGTTCTGAATAAGAGGGTTTGGATCATAATTACACTGTGAGATGTCATTGCTGTTTTTGTTTCCAATTAATAGTGTTGTCCTTCAGTAGCATCTTACCCTTTGTCCTTCATCCATTTGCCCTAAATCCATTTCACTCTAAGGCAGGGGTGTCAAACCCATGGCACCACATGGCATATTGGGACTTTTTTCCCCTTTGCTAAAACGGGCATGGGTGTGGCCAGCACGTGACGCATCCGGCCCACAGGCCGTGAGTTTGACAGCCCTATTCTAAGGCAATGTTTCTGAGCTTTAGTGATTTTAAGTTGTGTGGACTTCAACTCCCAGAATTCTCCAGTCAGCATGGGAGTTGTGTGGACTTCAACTCCCATGCTGACTGGAGAATTCTGGGAGTTGAAGTCCACACAACTTAAAATCACTAAAGCTCAGAAACTCTGCTTTAAGCATACAAGTAGTCCTTGACTTACAATTATTCATTTAGTGACCATTCAAAGTTACAACAGCACTGAAAAAAATGATTTATGATCATTTTTCACACTTACAACCGTTGCAGCATCCCCATGGTCATGTGATCAAAATTTGGAGGCTTGGCAACTGGCTCATATTTATGACCGTTGTAGTGTCCCAGGGTCATATGATCACTTTTGCGATCTCCTGACAAGCAAAATTAATAGGGAAGCAAGATTCAACAACCATGTTACCAACTTAATGACTGCACTGATTCCCTTAACAATTGTGGCAAGAAAGGTTGCAAAATAAGGCAGAACTCAACATAAAGGTCTCTTAGCAATGGAAATTTTGCGCTCAATTGTGGTTCACTTCAAAAATATAGCATAAATGTTCCAGACGTGGACCTCACTCCATTCCTAAGAGGTCTGTGAGGGGGCGTGCATAAGCACACCAGCGTGCCTACCGTCCTTGTCCTACTGTTCCCATTTATTCATACTCATTTATTATGTATATACTTATGTTGTCCCCAAAACTGGGCTCTTGCTTGGTGTCGAAGCCGATAAGTCACCGGACACAAGGTGTGATACAATATAATTTTGGTACCAAGATATAAGGACCCTGGCTCAAAAGCTAACCAAGGCCCCCGATTACAACCTTACAGCAATTTTTATAGTCAAGGGGTAGTCGCATTCAGCTCTTTGCCCTTCCCCTAATAATGCATGCATAACGGATAATAGTGATTGGTTATTTAGACCTCAGCCCCCTACATAGCTAAATGTCAGGTCATCTCTTTTTCACCCCAGGTCACGGGTATCTTGCAGTTTCCTAGTTTCATGTGCCAGCTATGTGGTTTTTGGGGTTTTTCTTATAAGCAAGCTATTCTTGTTCCGAACATCCTGGCTAGTGGTTTAAGGTGCTAACTTCTGCCTCGCTAAGAATGTGCAGTTCCAACCCCTTTCCTACTGCAGAACAGCTCAAGGTAGCTCCCCCACTCCCCACGACCCCCCTCCTTCCACAGAGAAAAGTAAAAGCAGTTTAAATCTTTGTCTGAGGCAGCACCCCACACTCCCGTGACCCCGCTCCTTCTGTAGAGAGAGAGAAGACAGGAAGGAGCAAGGCTGCTTAAGGCAAAGAAATGAAGACAAGAGAAAATGTTTTATCAGAATTCATATTTCTTACTCTCATGTCCATTCCATCCATACCTGGGTCCATAAGGCCCTTCCTCTGATCCCCAGGGCCTCCTCTGTACATACATCCCATCATCTGATCCTTCACTTATACCAGTTTATGCTTATATGTTTATATGTTATGTTCATAATTATAGTTGTTTTCTCATACATGTTTGACAAACTAAACTAAATAAAATAAAGAAAGGAAATTCCACTGGGAAAGAGGATCTGAGGATCCCAAATGTAAGTTTAATTATATATTCTTTCAATGCAACAGTTGGACAAAGCATCTTCAAACACGGTGTAAGGATACATACCTTCAAAGTCTTGTTTTGCATAATTTGTGTTGCTGTGAGAAAGTAACAAAAGCTGGGAACGAGCTCCTCAAGGTAGCAGACGAACTACTTTCGGACTTTATTCGTTTCGCCCTTCATCTGCTGCCCTTCAGATATTTTGAAATTCAACCCATCCCATTTCCAAACGCCTTGAGGATTCTGGGAGTTGTAGTCCCAGCGCACAGGAAGGTTGAAGAAATCTTATTCAGAATGGGAGACGTGTATCAACCCCAAATGGTTGTGCCTGAGCAGTGTTTTGTTTTGTTTTTCCTGTCAAAACCTCATAGCATCCTCCACCCTGTGCATTATTGTCAGTACTGTATCAACATATTTATTTTTCGTTCTCAGTTTTAATTAGATGCTTCTTATGCCTGGTAGGCGGGATTATTTTCTTCCTTTGACCAATTAGGACCCTGCCCGCTTTGTTTGAATAAAAGGATTAAAAAGGCTTTCCTCGTTGGCCACTTTGTCACCATCCATTGGCTGCGCAGCCACCTCAATTGCGATTTCTTACGCGAGCGCCTTTCAGGGCACGCTTGCATGGCAAAGCTTCCCATCAATCGAACAATTTGAAACCCGCCCTTCGTCTAGTTGCTTCTTAAACCGTTAGTAGATAAACCACCTTCCCTTTAAACGCCACTTTACCCAAGCGTTCATATTCAAATTCCTCCAATCAAGCGCCATGGCGCCGCCTCCCCACTACGCCTATCCCCATTGGCTGCCGACTGTCGCGGACATTGGTTGTCAACGGTTCTGAGCGAGGAGAGGACCCAGGAAGGGAGTGAGGTGGACTGGATTCCCTCCGTTCTAACGGGCCTGATTGGGTAGCCGGGGTTCTAAAGGGGTGTGGCTGATCTTGACCGAGAGTTATAAAATCGTTTGTTGGTCAGAGGCCACCCTCATTAAAGTGAGGGTGGCAGAGTGGAGTTGGTAGGTCTCGCAGAGGGGAAGCAGGAAGTAGAAGAAGTGGGGTGGTGACGGGGAAAATATCCTAAAAATATACATTTGCAAACTTCCTAAACAAGAAGAGCCAGCATCCACTCAGCGGGGGCTGTTTGAACCCCCAAGTCAATAAAGGATAGGTTCCTGATCAGAAGGGATCCAAGTATCGATTAAGGCGTGTATGTGAGCCCTCCAGAGGTCAGGGTAAATCGCGCTACTTTGAAACCTCTGTGCAGACCCAACACAATGGTGAGTGGCTTTTATTGCTGTGTGTCCTTTCCTTGCCCACTTGTTCGAAGTTTGAAGTCTCTGGGACTTCCCAGAACTTGGGTGGGTAACTTTCAGGATGTGGGTGAATCTTAATGGATGGTGAACTTGAACTCTTTCCCAGAAACAGAATCTGGAGAGCTTACATGGTTGTGCTGTGCAGGCACACGTGTAAGTGCAAAAATCCAGTAGCATGGTGTGAGTGTCTTTCTGTGCTTGAGTCTATTGCTACAGTACTAACTAGGAACCAAAATCGCCTGTTGCTTTGTGCAAGAGGAGTGTGAACTTTGGCCTTCTGATGAGCATTAGATTTCTACACAGAAAATGTGTGAACGGTTATAAAAGTTTTATTGTGGGACAGGATGGTATCTTGCACTTGAGCTTCCTGTTCCTGTGCAAGAACATGTATTATATTGGCTGTTGTCAGACTCCCATGGGGCCATGTAGGGGTTATATAGGGGTCATAGCTAGCTCTATAGGCAAAGTACAAATCCTAGGTGTTTGACTGGGCTAAGTTTGGTTGAAGGCATGCCATGCTATCTGCAGGTCATGACCTAATATTAGGATCATTATATTCAGATTTATCTATTCTCTTATCCATGTTAATGTCACGGCATGGTAGTATAACTCCCAATCTGGGAGTCTGAAGCCACCTCTACTTCTGCTATCTTGTAATATTTTCAGTTTTATTCGGGGTTTCTTCCCTAGCCAAACAAATTTTGTTGTTGCTTTATTTAGTTCCTCAGATAATTTTTTGTCTAATTTTATTGGGATCATTTGAAATAAATACAACAATTTTGGTGATACATTCATTTTGATTGTGGCGGTTCTTCCCAGTAGTGATAATTGTAAATTCCCCCATGTGTCCAGATCTTTCTCTACTTGTTGCAATAATGTATTATAATTGTCCTCTTTTATTGAGGAACATCTTGCCGTCAACCATATTCCAAGGTATTTAACCTTTTTGGTTGTTTGTATTTCCATTTTCCCCTCTAATTCTCTTTTCTGACAGTCGGTAAGATTTTTAACTAATATTTTGTCTTGTCTTTGTTAATTTTAAAGCCTGCCACCTTCCCAAATTCTTCTATTTCTTGCAATAAAATAGTTCCCGTATCTGTAGGCTCTTCTATAAAAAATACTAGGTCGTCTGCAAATGCCTGTATTTTATATTCTTTTTTAATTTTAACCCCTTTTATTTCTTATTTTTGTCTAATCCAAGATAATAAAACTTCTAGCGAAAGAATAAAAAGTAGAGGTACAGCGGACATCCCTGTCTCACTCCCTTAGCTATATTAAACTTCCCTGTAGTATCTCCGTTTAATATTACCCTGGCGTTTTGGGTAGACTATATTGTGCGCGTCCAAAAAGATCAATGTGGCTTGTTTCTCCGGATGAGCTTCATAGTATTCCAGAAAATGTATTACCATCCTCGTATTGTTTCTAATCTGTCTTTTGGGTAAAAATTCATTTTGGTCCGAATGTATGATTTCATTTAACAATTTTTTTCATTCTCTCTGCTATTATTGTGGTAAATACTATTTTATAGTCAGCATTTCACAATGAGATGGGTCTATAGTTTTTAATTTTTTGGTGGTCTGCACCCTCTTTTGGTATTAAAGTAATATAGGCCTCAGCCTATGATTCCGGTAATTTAGCTTCTGTCAATACCCCATTATATAACTCCAACATTAACAATTCCACTGGTTCGTGTATGGTCTTATATAATTCCCCCAGAAGACCATCTGGCCCCGGAGTTTTATTACTCCTCTGTTTTTGTACTGCCTCTTTCAATTCTGTCAGAGTTATTTCCTTATTCAACATTTCTCTTTTCTCTTCAGATATTGGAGGTAAACCCTTCTCTTTTAGATACTGATGTATATTCTCATCTGCTATTTTTTCCTGTCTGTACAACCCCTCAAAGTATTTTTGTGTAATACTTTTCTTTTCTTTCATACGATATTGGAGGCTCCCATTCCCATCTTGCAATTGTATTAATTTTTTCTCTTTTTCTTTTTAAAATTTGTATGACAACCATCTTCCCGGTTTATTAGCATGTTCGAAAAAAATTTGTTTCACAGATTTTAGGTTTTGTGCCCTTTCTTCCTGCATCAATAAATTTAATTTGTGTCTGACTAGAGCCCTTTCTCCCTTAATTTTGTCATTTTGTGGTTCTTTTTGTAATGCAGATTCCAATTTTTTGAGAGCTTCCTGTAACAGATTTTGTTGTTTCCCTTTTTCCTTGTTTCTTCTAGCAATGTATGCTATTGTTATACCTCGTAAATAAGCTTTGGTGGTGTCCCACAGATTCTGCAACGTTTGCTGTTTCATATTCTCCTTAAGAAGTAATTCCAATTCTTATCATTTGGACATATTCTTTTTCCTTCAAAATCTGTGGATTCGATGTCCTTCTTCTTTTCTTTTGGCCTTTCCAAATTACTTTCAAGGGATTATGGTCCACCCATGTGTTTGCCATAATTTCTATTTTGTCTGTTTCTTCCCATTTCCTGATCCATCCAAGCCATGTCTATCTTTGACCATGAATTGTGGTTTGAATAAAAAGTACACTGCTCAAAAAAATAAAGAACACTTAAACAACACAATGTAACTCCAAGTCAATCACACTTCTATGAAATCAAACTGTCCACTTAGGTAGCAACACTGATTGACAATCAATTTCACATGTTGTTGTGCAAATGGAATAGACAAGAGATGGAAAGCATAGACAGCAAGACATCCCCAATAAAGGAGTGGTTCTGCAGGTGGTGACCACAGACCACTTCACAGTTCCTATGCTTTCTGGCTGATGGTTTGGTCACTTTTGAATGCTGGCGGTGCTTTCACTCTAGTGGTAGCATGACACGGAGTCTACAACCCATACAAGTGGCTCAGGTAGTGCAGCTCATCCAGGATGGCACATCAATACGAGCTGTGGCAAGAAGGTTTGCTGTGTATGTCAGCAGTGTCCAGAGCATGGAGGCGCTACCAGGAGACAGGCCAGTACATCAGGAGACGTGGAGGAGGCCGTAGGAGGGTAACAACCCAGCATCAGGACTGCTACCTCCGCCTTTGTGCAAGGAGGGACAGGAGGAGCACTGCCAGAGCCCTGCAAAATGACCTCCAGCGGGCCACAAATGTGCATGTGACTGCTCAAACGGTCAGAAACAGACTCCATGAGGGTGGTGTGAGGGCCTGACGTCCACAGGTGGGGGTTGTGCTTACAGCCCAACACCGTGCCGGATGTTTGGCATTTGCCAGAGAACACCAAGATTGGAAAATTTGCCACTGGCGCCCTGTGCTCTTCACAGATGAAAACAGGTTCACACTGAGCACATGTGACAGACGTGACAGGGTCTGGAGATGCCGTGGAGAACGTTCTGCTGCCTGCAACATCCTCCAGCATGACCGGTTTGGCAGTGGGTCAGTAATGGTGTGGGGTGGCATTTCTTTAGGGGGCCGCACAGCCCTCCATGTGCTTGCCAGAGGTAGCCTGACTGCCATTAGGTACCGAGATGAGATCCTCAGACCCCGTGTGAGACCATATGCTGGTGCAGTTGGTCCTGGGTTCCTCCTAATGCACAACAATGCTAGACCTCATGTGGCTGGAGTGTGTCAGCAGTTCCTGCAAGATGAAGGCATTGATGCTATGGACTGGCCTGCCCGTTCCCCAGACCTGAATCCAATTGAGCACATCTGGGACATGTCTCGCTCCATCCACCAATGCCACATTGCACCACATACTGTCCAGGAGTTGGGGGATGCTTTAGTCCAGGTGTGGGAGGAGATTCCTCAGGAGACCATCTGCCACCTCATCAGGAGCATGCCCAGGCATTGTAGGGAGGTCATACAGGCACGTGGAGGCCACACACACTACTGAGCCTCATTTTGACTTGTCTTAAGGACATTACATCAAAGTTGGATCAGCCTGTAATGTTTTTTTCCACTTTAACTTTGAGTGTAACTCCAAATCCAGACCTCCATGGATTGCTAAATTTGATTTTCATTGATAATTTTTGTGTGATTTTGTTGTCAGCACATTCAACTATGTAATGAACAAAGTATTTAATAAGAATATTTCATTCATTCAGATCTAGGATGTCTTATTTTTGTGTTCCCTTTATTTTTTTGAGCAGTGTACTTCGTGTTTATAGAACACTACCTTTGTAAATCATTGGTTCATCCCTTGTCAGTTTATAGATTTCATCCCTTATTTTTTTCCCCGCGAATCTCACATGTACCTCCTTTGGCAGTTTATGGCGTCTCATGTAGTTGGTGTGGATTCTGTACAGCTCATCTACCTCGCTCTGAATTTCCTATATGTTTCTTTGTAGGGCTTCAGCTATCAATCCTGACATATTTCCCAAATCTTCCTTACTTTCAGTCATGTTTTGGAATCTCAAGAAGAAAACTGCTTGCTCCATTTCCAGATGCACAATTGCCTCTTCCAAATCCTTATTTACCGCCATCAATTTTCGATCCACTAGTTCCAATTTCTTTCAGTTTGTTCTGTTCTGGTTTTCACCATTATTTTTTGCTCATTTTTTTCAATCGTCTGTTGTATCATTCCTATTTTATCATCTAATTTGTGGATGTCACCCTTCATCTCCCCCATCTCATTCTTTATTTCCTCATGATTTTTCGATATTGCCTCTTGCATCTTCATCATTGTTTCTTGGATCTCTAACAGAGTCACCTGCATGGTGTGCATATTCGATGTGGCACCTGACTTTTTGGCACTGAGCATACCCTCTATTGACCGTTGACCTGATGGGGATGCTGTTGTCAGTGATGATTTGGAAGTTGTTTTTTTCCTGGTTTTCATGATTGTCGTTGTGCTTGTCATTTTAAAAATTCTGTAGATGTCTTCCCACACCACCATCCACTAGATGTTAATCTACCGTGTTTCTCATATAATAAGGCTGGGTCTTATTTTTTTTTGAGCCCCGAAAAAATGGCTAGGCCATCTTTTCAGGGGTGACTTAATT